TTATGTAGAAGCAATCATCATTAGGATTTTCACTTAAGTCTACCTGTCTCCCACAAATCAGCACCAGTAGTGAAAGTAAATAAGTACGCTTGTTTCATTACATTACTTGGATACAATTTTATTTTGAGATTCATAATATTTTTGTCTCAAACTTCATCAACAGGCTACTTCAAGTAATTTCAGTACTTATTTTCTGTCAGTTTTATACCTCTTGCTCAAAATCTAATGGGAATTGTAATTAATACTAAAATACATGAATATGATCACACTAATTTCCTTTAGGATTCATGTTGATATACAAAAGACCAAAGAAAAGTTATATTTCATTAAGACAATGAATGTTTTGGGCTTGTGGGAAATTCAGTTGTTATAAATAAAGCAATAATTATCTTTACCAGCTGCAGACTAAAGTGACTAACACAGTAATGCATCATTTATTGTAGTACAGTAAAATAACCCATATCAATTTGTATTGAGCCATTCAACTTAATAGAAAATCAGACTCATTGTTAAGCCATATTTTAATGCTAATGCCATGACAGTATATTGTATCAAAACAGTTTTGAAAGCAGGACTTTTATTTTGACACTGCATCTCTACACTGTGTAGTGCTATTTTTTTCTTAGGCAAATTACACAAGTACTTTCCCCACCACTTTAATTCAGAAAACCGCCTAAAATTCAATATCATCTCACCAAAAAGGATGCACTTTTTTGCATTATTAACCTTTGGTTTATCTTCCATTTACTGGGAAAGGGAGGGACCTTCCTCTGCATCCTGACATGAAATTATTATTTAAAATGTGGTGGTTTCTTTAACTATTACCTGTGATATAGCAGAGGTAAAAAAAAAGTAATTACATTTTCTAACTTTCACAAGATTCTGGTCATCTAACGGAAGTGCAAACAAGCTTTAAGGTGCTGAGTAAAGTGCAAAGCAAATATATCACATGATGAATGGCTTATAAAGAGGAATATGTTTGACTTAAAATATGTAGTATTGATTATTACAATTCATTCAAAATGATCAATATAAAATACAATTAGGCTATTTACAAAATATGTGTCACGTTTTAGAAAAAAACTGGTTCACTTGCCCCTGATATTTCAGGGGTGCTGAGAATATATTTAGCGGTGCTTAGCAACCCTAAAAAGGGTTTAAAACTATATATCCTATGATTGAGGTATTGAAACATTTATTAATTCGAGCAAAGTATCTGACCACCATTTCCAATGTTTCATCTCCCTTCAAAAGTGTAGTGGAAGGATAAGGCCACCTAGTGGCACCAAGGTTGTAAAATTCTGCATACTCCAACTATAATATCCCTCTTTCAAATATCCAGATAATGAACATTTTAAGATTTGCTATAAAAGAACTGGGATTCCAAACAAATCATTGTCAGTATAGCTATTTAGACTGATATGCTCTCTGACTGTATCAAGCAGGAATGTAACAACTCACTTATGTAAACAGAGGATCAATTAAAAAACCCTGCAATCCTAAAACCTCTTGTAAATTTGAAACAGACAAGCATGAAATGAAACAATGTTAAGACTGTGGACAAACTGCAAATAACTGTTAATGAAGTTTGCATAATTAAGTTGTTCAATTAATGAGAAAATTACAGAAAGAGAAAAGTACAGTATTAAGAGGTAGTACATAAGGTATTAAGTTTCAAGTTTATTTGAACACAGTCACATCTGCACAAGTAAGTGTCATTTTATTTCTTTACAGACATTCCCTAATAACTTTTGTTGTGCTGGTGCTCAGTATCTGCTTGACAATAGCAAGAGGTCCTGTTCAAATGTGAAAGTTGTTGACAGGGTGTCATTTTTGAACTCATGTAACCCCATGGTAAGCATGCTGACAAATTAAAGGCTATTTTTGAATCCTCAAGCTTTTGGTAAAGGTTGTAAACTGTACAGAATGAAACCTAAAAGAAAATATTGTTTGGCCAATTGATTGAATATAGTAATATACAACAGGAGCTTAAAAAGCAAATGTGTTCATGGAGATAGGACTAATTGTGTTTCTCTAATCAACAAACAGCAAATTAATGTCCTTAGCCTACATAGACAACTGATACTCTGATCCAGTCTCAGTTTAATAATAACATGTATGAAATTAGATTTGTTTCTCCACTTAATCAATATGTGGATGCAAGTTTGTGTTGAACTTGAAAGCTACACCATATACAAATAGCCCTTTAAATATTTAGATGTGTTGTCCTGTAAAATCTTCTACCTAATTGGTCTGAAAAAGAAAAGCAAACAAAGTTAACAAGTGAGTGAGTAGTGAGGTAGTCAAGACTGTTAGATGCCATTGCTCCAATTTATGGTTCCAAAGGCCAAACAAAAAAAAAGAGTTATGTCGAAATGACATCACTGATTTAAATGCTATGCATGATGTAGGACTTTCAAACGTTGCATCATCTGCACTTCCTGAGAGTTGATGTGAAACCATGAGTAAAACAGAAAACATTGACACAGTGGAAAAAAGACAGCATATGAGGGACCATATGCATATATCACACTGTGAAATGTAATCTGTATAAAATGTGTTACATATGCTTAGTAACCATTCAAATTGCCAACAAAGTTGGGAGCCGTTTAAAGAGATGTGTTTATAGAATCTAAAGTAAGACACTAACATGTCTGTTTTGTATGAAACTTGTTTGTATCTGGCATTTAACAAAAGACATTATATCAGTTGTCTGTTCCGAGGAATCAGCCTTGTCAAAGAAATACCCATACCATTTTTACCATCAAAAAGCACCACACTTTAAAATTATACCCATTCCTTTACCATGGGCATTTGACCTGCTCCTGCATGCACAGGGCAACAAACCCTTGAATACAGTTCTTGATATGATGCATTCTCACCGTAACCTCTACATGCACAATCAACTTCCTGACATCAACTCATTGGACTCCAGATTCTTCTCTTTAGCCTGGTGGCCTCTTCCAGAAGCTACCAGGTTCTTCTGTGATCCTACAGCTGTCAACCCCCCACCCGTCTCCTAACACCCACACTTTCTAAACCCTCCTCCCGCCACTTTGGCATCAGGCATTTGCTGGCGAGTTCTCAGCTGTCTGTGCCCTAAATAGATCTTATCAGGAACAGACTACCTCAAAGGGTCTCAAAGGGGGTCTCTATCAAAGAAAGTATTGAATAGGAAATAGATTTTTTATTACCAGAGCCTTTAATATCTCATAGACATAGAGAGGATATTTGTTGTTATACAAGGTGGTTTGGGATTGTATGACCTTTAGTGCAAAGTTGCTGTTTAGAGTTTTAGTGTGCTTGGAGTGAACCCTTATGTGTGACGGATGGTCCTTTCTTGGCAATGCCACACCTCACTGGGATTCATTATAAATATAATTTGAGTTGTAAGTAGGGGAAGGTTACGTAGGCAATAGTTTGTGACAAACACGAGGGACTTGAGGACTAGACCATCTACACCGAGCAGGACACACAACACACAAACCTTAAGGTACTGTACAGTTTACACAAAGATTTGCTTTTATTTTTTTTAGTGGCTTTTAAGAGTAAAGAAGTTACTTTAGATCATGACACGGAGAAGTGTGGATTGTAGTTATCCGGGGATCAGTGGGAGATGGTCCAGTAGGAAAGTAGCATTTGTTGCAAAGCCTCTATGGGGGTCTGAGACCATGCCCATATAAGGCCTGAGGGGGGGCCATTTAAAGTTAGAGATAACATGTGCACGGCCATTTGCTCCAGGATACCCTAGTCAGAAGGACACTTATTAGCAGCAACGGTGAGAATAAAAACATTTCTGCAGTACTTTTGGATTATACAATGTGTGGACAGATAGTTATTCGATAGGGTGAATGTTAAATAATGGTCTTTACTGAATGTAAGATCAGTTTTTGGACAGTTGCTATACTTTTTCCCCACAGCCATTTTCATTTGAAATCTTAAAGAGTTTTAATGTTAAGGAGACTTTGTTGAATCTTGACATTATTTGAAATATTGTTTACCAGGTCCGAAACAGGCCTGAAACTCATTTCTGATACTTATGCTGAATTAATTCCTGATTGTTGTACTTTGAACCCCATCTTGTCCATCTGAATGTGTCTGTGTCCATCCTGTGCTTAATGTGTCAAATACAGGACACACTGAAACCTAAGTGTTAGATTTTACTTAGAAAACTAAACGCTGCAGTCTTTAAATTGTACGTGCTGTAATAATCTCTATTTCTACCAGATGGGAGACACCGTCCAGTTAAAAGATGAAGGAAACAAACACTTTCAAGCAGGAGAGATCGACAAGGCCATTGAATGCTACACTAAAGCCGTCAAGGGGTGCAAAGACCAAAAAGTGCTTGCTGTCATATACAGGAACAGATCTGCATGCTACTTAAAACAGGTAAGCAGTTTGGTAAAGCAGTACGAAAACAAACTTTTACCAAAGGAATATATGTGGCATTTTGTTGGAAAATTTAGATTCAATTTTAACATTTCTATTCATCCTCTAGGAAAACTATACAAATGCAGCATCTGATGCATCTAAAGGTAGTGTAAATACATAGTGAAAGCAAATAACAGCAGCAAAATCAATAAAAAAAACATCCCTCAAACCTACATCTCCAAGCTCATTATGGTTATTTCTTCCCTTTATTTAGCAATTGATGTCGATGCAGCAGATATTAAAGCTTTGTACCGGCGTTGCCAAGCTCTGGAGAAGCTTGGTAAACTTGACATGGCTTTTAAGGACGTGCAGAGATGCGCCACCCTCGAACCAAAGAACAAGACCTTTCTGGAGACTCTACGCAGGCTTGGAGCTGATATCCAGGCCAAGGTCAGCCTCACAGGAGCAAAACACCCACACATAAGCACAGGACAGATAAGAATCAGACAAATGACTCTCCATAATTGCCTAACTCATCACCAACTTGTTGTTACATGTATTAAACAGTGATCAGTGGCTACAGAGAAACTGGGTTAGGTGTATTACTGGAAAAAAATCACAACAGGAAATAATAGTTTCATTTTTATTTTCCACAGCTTAAGACAACATTTTCCACCGATTCAAGGGTTCAGAACATGTTTGACATTCTCTTTGATGAAGAAATGGACAAGGATAAGAAGGAAAAAGTGGGTAAATTCTCTGGCATGAAGCAGATACACTGTTGCATTAAGTATATGAAGTTTTTGTTTGTTTATCTGGTCTTCACTTCTGCATCCTGTCCCTTTCCCTTTAGGCTGCAAACAACCTGATTGTGCTGTCCAGAGAGGATGCAGGAGCAGAAAGAATCTTCCAGAATAACGGAGTGTCTCTGCTGCTCACCATGATAGAGACAGGAAAATCAGAGATGGTCCTGGCTGCTGTTCGCACACTGTCAGGCATGTGCACAGGACACAAAGCTCGGGTGAGTATACTTTTACTTATTTATACTACAAGTACGACCTTCACCTATATGATGCCATTAGAAGTAAGGTTTAATGATATTTGTAAAAAAAAAAAAAAAAAAAGTTTTATCACAAATGTACTAAGTCAAACATTTATTTTCTCTCGCCCCCCTAACAGGCCATGGCCATTGTTAACATGGTGGGTGTTGATAAAATGTGCAGCATCATGGCTGTTGACAATGAGGAGATTGCACTTGCAACCTGCAACCTATTCCAGTGCATCAATGACTCCCTCACTGGTGGAGATAAAAGGGATTATGGAAAAGAAGAGGCCTTGGTTTTGGGTGAGAAACAATCAACCTGTAACAGAAAGGAAAACAGAAATGCTCTGGCTGTACTTTTCCACAGCACTCCTGACAGGGACAAACAATCTTCATATCATTTTCCTTCTGCAGATGCATCGAAAGACCTGAAAACTATTCTCCTATCTCTGCTGGAGATGGTTGCCAGTAAGAAGGTGTCTGGCCATGGCAGAGACCAGGCGCTGAACCTCCTGAGCAAAAATGTACCTCGCAAAAACAAAAAAGAGGTAGACCACTCCAGGACCCTATTCACTATTGACAACGGTGAGGCAGACAGCCACAGGTCTCTTATTTTACTGGAGTTGCTGTCCAATGCTGCATCCCAGACTCCCTGACATGAGATTTCTACATATGCCTATGTTTGATTGTTCTCCAGGTCTGAAGAAGATCCTCAAGGTATGTGGTCAGATTCCTGAACTGCCAGACCAGCTGCCCTTAACAGACAACACACAGCTGATTGCTAGCGTGCTCCTCACCAAGATCTATGACGACCTCAAATGTGACCCAGAGAGAAACAACTTCAGGGACATCTGTGATGGATATATAAAGTACACACACGAAAATCCACTCTTGAGCATGGTTTAAATGTCTCTAAATGATGACCTAGCCAACATAACCCATGTTTTTTTCTTTTTCCTTTCATTGCTCTCCTTTCTTTAGATCCAAGATTGACCCCAATAATATGGACAACACCATTCATGCAATCAATACCATCTCGGGCCTGCTTCAGGGTCCCTTTGACGTGGGCAATGCTCTGGTTGGACATCAGGGTATAATGGAGATGATGGTGGCGTTATGTGCCTCTGAACGGGAGGTGGACCAGATGGTTGCTGTGGAGGCTCTGATCCACTCCTCCACCAAGATGAGCCGTGCCAGCTTCATCATCACCAATGGTGTGTCACTGCTGAAGGACATCTACAAAAAGACCAAGAATGAGAAGATTAAGATACGTGCGCTGGTGGTGAGTGTCCTTAGGAAAAAACGGAACACCAAATAGAACTTAATTCTAGCTTTATTTTTAGCGACTATGTACAAAATAATAATAAATATATAACACAGTAAAAGTAAGCAGGCAACAATAAAGACAGCTGCCTCTAAAGTCAAACATTGTGCATGGCTATTGTTGTCAAACCGATATGCAAAAATGTACGGTTGTTCCGTTCAAACATAATGTAGAATGGAATTATATTAGATTATACATTTTCCAGGTACTGTTTGTGTAAGTATGTGACTTGTGTCCTCTTCAGGGTCTCTGTAAATTGGGTTCAGCTGGAGGTGATGATTACAGTTTAAGGCAGTTTGCTGAAGGCTCCACAGAGAAACTCGCCAAGCAATGCAGAAAGTGAGTACAAAGAATCTTGCAGTTTATTTCCCATAATGGGGGGGGGGGAGATAAAGAAACCTGTTGGAAAAAAAACAACTCCAGTGTATTTTAAAGTTTTCCTCCAAAAAATGTTTAAAGGTAAGTTAAAAAAAATGTAGCCTTGATGTATATTACATTTATCATGGTTTACAACAATATACCATCAATATGATATCATGTATATGTAAAAAGAGGCTTGAAGCACATTTCCCCTCTTATGAGATATTTGCAGTAGAGTGGTACTGAAACAGCAGTATTCATCAAGATGGCTACCAACAGAGAGAACATGGAGCGATTCAGTGAGCCTCATTCAGACCCAGACTCAGATGAGGAGTCTGATGTGCACTGGAATCTACTAACACATTTATTTAAAATGCTTAGCGTCTTTGTTTGGTAGCTTGTTATCTTAACTGGTAGTGTTTTGATGGCTTTGATGTTGCAGAAAAAAATATTTATTTTCAGTTGATAGTGTTAGTTTACATCTACCTCCAAAACATACACTATGTTACTTTTAATATGCTTATGCAAACTCAGTGTCTCGATGGACGAGAAAGTTTCCATTATGCTGAGGGTTTCACGTTTCTTTTTTTTTTTAGCATTTTACAAAGCTGTATGCTTTTTTTAAATACTTTTTATTGTCATTATGTCTTAACACACAGTACACATTTTATATTCAACATAAGGATGACAATATTTTACATTTTTTCAAGTGGTGTGGTGTCAAAAGATCGTGTCCCCCAGTGATGTGGAAATACTAAAAATATCACTTACAATACAGAAACATGTATTACAGTTGTTTAAAGTAACTTGAAATCAAACTGAGGTAGATTGAATCTGTATTGCATAAATTCATGAATGTTTCACTCCATCATGGTTTTTTTCCCTTTCTCTACAATATTTAACATCTTAAGGAAGGGCAAACAACAAAAATTAGTTATATAAAAAGAATAAAATTAAATTAAAAGAAAGAGAAGAAGAGGAAAAAGAGAAAGAAGAGAGAAAAAACAAAACAAAACTGTAAGCTTTGACTTTTTGTATCCATACTCGCTAACCCAATGTGCATTTAAACCATAAGATTTCAAGAAAGTGCAACAAAATATATAATATTAAATATTCTATAGAAGTATGTAAATGTACCTCTCTAGTGACAAACTTTGTATCGGAACAAGTCAGGATAGTTAAAGTCAGACATAATGACATTCAAATGTTAAAGGTAGAGACATTTATGGATATACATTATGTTCAATTATAATTTTTATGCTGATTTAATTCCGTACAATAATTCCTGGCAATGCTAACACTTCACGTTATCATAAAAGTGTGCACTAAAAGTTAACATTTTTCATGTTTTGTTCTTCTAGGTGGCTTTGTAATCCCCAGATTGATAACAAAACAAGGAATTGGGCGATAGAGGGTCTTGCTTATTTGACTAATGATGCAGATGTGAAAGATGACTTCGTTGAGGATGAGCCTGCCATGAAAGCTATGTTTGAACTGGCCAAGGTAAGGAGACAACAGACAGAAGAAGTCATACCGTTTATCTGTGTAGACTTGAAAAGTAAACTCTCTTTTTTTCCTCTCTGTCTTTTTAGTCTAAGGACAAGACAATCTTATATGCAGTAGCGTGCACCCTGGTTAACTGCACCAACAGCTATGACAAGAAGGAAATCATCCCTGAGCTGGTTCAACTGGCCAAGTTCTCAAAGCAACATGTGCCTGAACAACACCCCAAGGTAAAAATAAATAAAAAAAGGAAAATTAACTATTCTCAGACAGCAACCCAGAGAACTTATATGGATATAGGTGCACATGGAAATGTTTAAATGTTTAACCACTGTATGCATACTGTATACATACACATGTTTTATACTTGTTTTCTTCAGGACAAGAAGGATTTTATTGATAGGAGAGTGAAAAGGCTGCTGAAGGCTGGAGTCATCTCAGCTCTTGCTGTCATGGTCAAAGCAGACAACTCCATCCTGACTGATCAGACCAAGGAGATGCTGGCAAGGTGGGAGGAGAAAAATATCACAGTAAAGTGCTGATGAGGCAATCAGATGCACCATATAACATGACATGAATCTAAAAGGAAGCCCTAAAATCTATCGGACTCGTCACAAAGTAATCAGCTCGACATCGCGTGCATAAGCACTCCCTTTAATTTTCCTTCAGGCCATTCTCATAGTTATGTAATAGTTTTAATAAAACAATTTCAGAGAAGAGGCAAAGCAGGCTAAAACACAAATGGATGACAACAATATCTTTGGCACATTGCTTAGAAATACAAGATTGTTAAACCTAATTGTTTTGTTTTTTTTAAGGGTTTTCTTGGCATTGTCAGAGGATCCTAAGGACCGTGGAATAATTGTCGCCCAAGGTGGGGGGAAGGTGAGTGATGGGTTTACAATTTGGACATTTAGTAACTTGATGAACTGTTTCATGCTAAATATTTCCACTGTTGTTCACTGCTGTAACACCACTGGCTCTGCACTCAGGCTTTAATACCACTTGCTCTGGAAGGCACAGAAGTGGGGAAGGTGAAGGCCTGCCACGCCCTTGCCAAGATTGCATCAATTTCCAACCCTGAAATTGCGTTCCCCGGTGAGAGGGTAAGACATCCTGTTTTGGCTTTGTCTTTGCCAGTCCTTATACATGCAATTTGAAAAAGAGAGAAATGGAATCAGCTTGTCTAATTATTCTTCACTTTTGACATTACTTTCTCAATGCTTTGGTGTGTGACTCATCGCTCAGCAAAGGCATTTTTATAATTCAATTCTTTCTTTCTTTGCAGGTGTATGAGGTGGTGCGACCTTTAGTTAACCTCCTTCACACAGACAGAGATGGAACACAGAACTACGAAGCTCTCAGAGGCCTTACCAACTTGGCTGGTTTTAGTGAAAAACTTCGGTAACATTTATCACAATCACTGATGTTATCATCATGGTTAATTTCAAATTTCTTTGCATTTTCAGGATTAGTATTATTGCGTGTCATTGTCACCTAATGCTTCATCTGTTTCGCAGGGTAAAGATTGTGAAAGAGAACGCCCTGTCAGATCTTGAGACCTACATGTTTGAGGAGAACGAACAGATCAGACAGGCTGCCACTGAGTGCATGTGCAACCTTGTTACATGTAAAAATGTAAGAACAGACAACCAGGCAAATACAGCAAATATGAACAAACACTGTGCATTCTCCAACAGGTGTGGCTCCATTAAAAAACTAATAATTAACAATTGTGTTTCATAGGTCCAAGAGCGTTACCTGGAGGATGGCAATGATAGGTTGAAGCTGCTGGTGCTGCTTTGTGGCGAGGATGACGAGAAACTCCAGGTAGCTGCAGCTGGAGCTCTGGCCATGCTCACTGCTTCTGAGAAGAAGCTCTGCACCAAACTGACCGTGGTGGTAAGTACAACAGAATATAAATGATTGCGTCAAATCCCAACAGTGATTTAAAAAAAAGCATTGTGGTCCTTATTGTGAAAAAGTTGGTGTTGGTTAGTGCCCAATACTTATAACCAATACTGCATGGCTCTACGTTAAAGACCTACAGTTCTTTGTAATCACTTATTCCGCTGCAGGTCAATGCATCGGCTGTTTTTGGAGTTGCTGTCAAAGTAGAAATGTCACTGATGCTTTAACCTGCCAGTTTACCTATTTTTGTGTCATACTTTTTTAATTTTAAAAAGAGAGTTAATTCAGATAACTGAATGATAATACCTTAGTATCAATCTGTACGGTTTTAGCAAAATAGAATTTTGGGACACACTGGATCACTTTGATATCTATAGCTATGATATAGCTGTGTATCTGTAGCTTTCTTAATCAGAGATTACTGATAGCTTACTGAAGTTGAGGTTATGTTTGTATTTCAGATTCAGAAAATTACCTCACAGCTGCAATGATTTAGTCTGTCAATACAATAAAATAACGACTTGGGAGCCCCCTTCACATAGATAACACACAGCCTTCTCAAACTTTACAACTCCAGTGTTAAACACAAGCTTCCTGCTGTATTTTTTCTAAACATTTGTCACCTTTAACCTCATATTGAGATTACACTGATGAAACGTATATGACCAAGCTTCTCTGGAGAAGGGCCGAGTAATGTATTGTGACTTATACTGACTCTCTTAGGATGGCATTTTTTTTTACTGAGTAATACACACAGATGTAGAGAAATATATATATTTTTAAAATGGGTAAGAAACATACTTTGTCACTGATTGGATGACTGCTCCCTCCAAACAGACAACCCAGTGGATGGAGATCCTGCAGAGGTTGTGTCTGCACAGCAACTCTTGGATAGCACACCGTGGCATGGTGGTTGTCTTTAACATGCTCAACTCAGATGACAGTGAGCTGTCGAAGAAGCTGATCGAGAGTGAGCTGCTGGAAATCCTCTCAGTGATCGGCAAAGCTGAGGACAACCCGAAGAGGCAGGAGACCATCGATGTTGCACGTGCGTGCCTTGTCAAAGCTATGGATCTTGGTCTCATCAAACCTTTCAGCAGCCCTTCTTAAAGTGCTGCTACAAGGAAACACCAATGGACAATTTTCTTTATTTCCTCTGTTACATATAGTACAGACTTTTTTTCTAATGCTTTTCAACTTCAGAGATATTAAAGGATTCATCCAACCATATAACATAAAGTATTATTTAAGTTTGTGCTAAATCCAAACTGTGATTGAATATTTAAGACTGATCTGTTCACATGTGTTTGGCTGGACTTGGTTTAACTGTTCAGCATTCATGACAAAGTATAACAGTTTGCCAATTTAGTTTTTTTATTTAACCAGGAAACGTCTCATTGAGATTAAGAATCTCTTTTACAATAGCGTCCTGGCAAAGACAGGCAGCAGCACAATTTACTGGGTTTCAGTCATAAAACACCTTTTTTACCTGCCACTTTATTACCAGCAGAAAATGTCATGACGTAGCCTATAATATTAAATCAAGACTTATAGTATTTAAATAATTTACTATTTTATGAAGGGAAGTTCCTTCTAGGCTACTATCAAAAAAACAACAACTGAAATTTGTTTTCTCACTTATAAACAAAACATTTTTTATTATTATTTTTTTTAAACTTATTTTAGTTTAGTAGGCCTATTTTGAGGCTGGTGAGAGTTTCCATTCAGTTATGTCCTTAAAAGCTGATTTAGCTGCACCCAAGCTCGGCTGAGAGGCAAGATAATCCATTTTTTTGCCTATATGACGAGAGTCATCACAATCATAAAGGTTTCTGCTGGAAAGAATTTCTTTTAGAAAGTAGTTCAGCTGTATTCACTTCTCAGGACGTTAGCTTCGAACTGAATCTGTGAGGTTTGAAGTTGTGTTTCTCTCCTGTGTTTTTATTTAAGTCTGTGTTAAGTTGATAGCACTGAAAATACACCATTTCCTGATATCGCTGTTTCACAATAAAAGCCCGTCATAGACATTTAAACCTGGAACTTTTATTGTGAAGACCTTGCTGTAATTGAGATGCTGCGCTTGACACCGCAAACACTCGCCTGTATGTGGAGCGGGAGGGTTGATCATTTCCAACCGGCTAGACTACTCACCGAGTCGCGTATGCGCGTCGGACACGACGGGAGAGCACCAGGAGAGAGCTCAGTGAATTACGTCGGAGCAGCGAGCCCATCGTCAGGCGGACTCGTACGGACAACAGTAAAGGAAAAAGGAAAAAGTTCCCTTTTTGGCGTCAAGGTAAACTACTTTTAAACTTTGCGAAAACTGAATTTAATTAAGAATTTGGATTAGATTTAGAATCCTCAAAGCGTGGTCATGGCAACACCTGCTCAATAACCTATCTTACAGTTTAAAGGTGTGAGCTTTTTAAAATGTGTGATTGGATGATGTATGGTCCAGGCCCGAGCCTGTTCTGTTCTGAAATGTCTGAAAACCTCATCCTTCAGCGAGGGGAAATTGTCACCTCTGACTCAGGTTCAACAGTAATGGATGATGACATATAATCATACATATAATCATACATATATCATACATAATAATTCATTTCACGGGAGTGTCAGTAGGTCCACTCGACCGGTGTTCAGCGCGTGCACCACGACGATAAAACGCTAACATGAATTTGAAGCCCCTTCATGACGAGCCTCACATACGTCATGTTCGTTTAAATACGCTGTAGTAATGCCACCCAACCTGGATTCTTCAGACAACAGGTGAATCTTCACTAACACGTCAGGGAGCTATACAGACTGAATGAAAGAATGAGGAAATGAAAGGAGACCGAGAGAAACTCGGGGTTCATTGATGAAAACCTGCTCCCGACCAGGTTAGGTTCACAGACTCAGTTACCTGACTCACAGGTAAAGTTACCGCTCCCTCCGGAACGGGCTGGAGTTACCCCTCTTTCTCGGGTTTGAGTGATCTCCGCTTTTGAAACGGAAAGTTTCCCTCATTTCAGGGTTGACGGACTCAGAGTTTGCACAAAACCTTCTTTCAGAAACTGGCCCCTGGTTAGGTTAATAGTCTGGCTGCAGCTTTTTGAACTAATTGTAGACGGTTAAGAGATGTTTTGTTTAGAAAGTTAAAAAGTGAGATACAGTTAAGGGTGAAGGGTTCCAGAGGTTCAGGTTTTTACACTGGCACTGCAAGACAAAATAACACACACACACCCTTTGTTTATCAACACAGCTGGTTTAAAATAAAACAAACCAAAGCCCTCCTCTACAACAAACTCAAATATAAAGTTCAGACCACCACTTAAACAAAAGCAAGGAGAGATGATCAATATTTTAACCCACCATAACAAAAATGAAGTAAAACCTTTAGGTAACAAAACAAAAACTAAATGCAAGGTAGCCCCCAAAAGTAGGAAATTTGATAAAAAAAAAAACAAACATAAACTAACTAAGGAACAAAGAGGGAGGGCAAGGCGACTGAGAGAGCGCTCATCAATTACACTCAGAAAAGTCTACATTGAAGAGTTGATATAGGCTAGGAGAAAAAATGAATGAATGAAAGACTTGAGTAGCAGGAGGTGTCACTATGAAAATTATAATAGATACAGACAGAAACGAAAAGAGGGGTAGCCTTATAACAGGATGTAGTTGTTTAGACAAGGAGGAATTTAACATTGAGTTTTTATCTTACAGAACCGGAGCAGAGATAACCTATCTGTGACCAAGAGTTGAAAGGCAGCAAGAAAAACATGAACGGTACGTGTTCTGACTTATCTCCCCACTTAACCATCCGACAGCCATCAGTATAATGAATCTTTTGTCTTTACAGGGGTGACACTTTTCTTTCTGCTGGTGTTTGCTGTGGGAAGGGCTCAGTGCTGTCTAGTCACAGCAAGCCCAGGCATGTCCTCTTTTATTTATCCAATTTTAAGATGAATAAAAACAATCAATATATAGTCTTTCATATAACATATATACTTTATAATGTTACAGATGAAAGACCTATTCACCGGTATTTCTGTGAGAATCAAGGATGTGCAGCCAATTTGAAATCTGTGTATTGCAATAATACACAGCTCTTGATGGAGCTTGACCCTGTCATCCCAAATTGCACAGGATTTCCACCAATCAACAGTGTCTGTAAGCATGATGGCCGGGCCTTTGTTTCCACTTATACAGATGGTAGTTGTGAGTTTGAAGGTGAAGGTCATCTTGCATCAGACAAATGTCAAGGTATTTATCTTTACTTGCTTTTTTGTTTACATCTCCTTTTTTTTTCTATACTATCTTTTTGATTTCCTCAAGCCCATTCTGTGTATATTGTCCTCTGAGTTTCCCCTTGAACTCATTCAGCTTATATTTTAGTTTGAAGGAAAAGTAGAAAACCCATTGCACACATATGGATTACTTGCACATAAGTATCCTCTAATGGGTTTGAATAATCACGTAAAGAAGATCTTTTTGTTGGTAATGTTTACTCTGAGTAACTCAAAGGTGTCATGATGATTATTTATTCTTCTGTAATTATGACCATTCAGGAACAGTGTTCACAAACTGAAATACAGCAGAGACTTTTGATCATATTCTGTTAGCTGACTGATTATATTCTCCTGTCTTCTGCATCATACTGGGCACGGTTTGTTAAAGTTTTGTTGCGGAGTTTTCCGATTCAGTCCACATCCACATATTAGCTGTTGAAGCTCTGCAGTCAATGTTTTTCTCCCTTCAACTTTCAGTATCCTCGTAAGACAGAAGCGCCCTGAAGCCACACTAGTCTCTAGATTGAAATGTTTCTGTGCACTCACTGCTAGTTCATTGATTTACCTGTTCACAATGATATTACAATTCCACACATTTCTCTAATTCAAACAAAAAGTAACATTGTATACAAATCAAACATCTTTTCTGATGCCCAACAGCTAATGCCATTCAGTCAAATAACACTTTGCAACACTTCTTTTTTTTTTTTCCAACTAGACAACAACACCATTTGTGCTTTCGGCAGAGGTAAGCTTTCCTGCAGATACACCCTTTGCACGATGCTGCTCAGTGTTTTGACTCACCCTTGACCAATTCTTTCTCATATAACCATCACAGTATCATCAGCCGCTGAAAATGATACCCAAACTAGATCTTCAGATAATATTGGTCTAATTGTTGGTAAGTTCTGAACACGAGCAAATCTGTAGAATTTTTCCTGCTTACACTTTGTGTCCTCTGCTTGCTGATAAGCTAACATCTCCAGAAGACAATCAGTGTCTTCCATTTATGCTGTTTGTTTGACTGGAGAAAATAATGCTTTTGGCTACTAACACAAATGGCTCTCCTCTGCCATCCTTTTGTCTTCTTGCTTTCACGAAGTGCTCAAATATTTGTCTTGCAAATACTAAAAATCAGGTGAGGATACATTTTTGTACGATATGTTGTATTTAATGTATTTAACTTTTAATACCTATCTCTTGGTTTTACAGGCCCCAGTATAGCAGCAGCAGCAGTAGTAGTAGTAGTAGTACTAGTCATTGGACTTACCTTGTATTTCAAAACTAATATATGCAAAAAAAAAACAGCAGGTAATACGAATAAATAATTGTTATACATACAATCATTTTATTCTTCTCACTTACATATCCTGATTTTGAAAATGAATTTGTTTCAGGAGATGTCCGATATAGAGGTGCAACCAGGAGAGAATGACAACACAGAAACTAGTGAAAGGTAAGTGAACATTAAACTGGATCACAGTATGTTCAAATGTAGATGTAAGTATATTATTCCTGACCTGTTTATTTAATTCCTTCAGAGAATCTCTCAGAGGTCCTGGATTGGCTGATGATGACACCTCCCACGATTGCTCAGTTTGGCTGGACGGCCAGGTCTAGGAAGAGTTCTGGTCGTCCCAAACTTCTTCCATTTAAGGATTATGGAGGCCACTGTGCTCTTAGGAAGCTTGAGTGCTGCAGAAATTCTTTTGTAACCTTGGCCAGATCTGTGCCTTGCCACAATTCTGTCTCTGAGCTCCTTGGGCAGTTCCTTCGACCTCATGATTCTCATTTGATCTGACATGCACTGTGAGCTGTAAGGTCTTATATAGACAGGTGTGTGCCTTTCCTAATCAAGTCCAATCAGTTTAATTAAACACAGCTGGACTCCAATGAAGGAGCAGAACCATCTCAAGGAGGATCAGAATAAATGGACCGCATGTGAGTTAAATATGAGTGTCACAGCAAAGGGTCTGAATACTTATGACCATGTGATATTTCAGTTTTTTTTTATTTTTTATAAATTTGCAAAAATGTCTACATTTCTGTTTTTTTCTGTCAAGATGGGGTGCTGAGTGTACATTAATGAGAAATAAAATGAACTTTTTTGATTTTAGCAAATGGCTGCAATGAAACAAAGAGTGAAAAATGTAAAGGGGTCTGAATACTTTCCGTACCCACTGTATACTAGAGTGCAGGAGTGTAGACATGTTATCAAGCTGAATCTATTTAATATAATGATGAGTAGACAGACAAATGAAGTAAAACTGAGTGCAGGGATAATAATGATAATGTGCAGAACAGATTTCATTATGAAGAGACAGATATTATCATGATGACAGTTCTCTGCTCGCAAGAGGTGAGCTGTTGTAAAAGTTTATGGCCTCCCATAGGAAAGATTTCCTATATCTGTCCTTGTGACAGCGGAGTTGGACCAGTCTGTTAGAGAAGCTGCTCTGCTGTCTGTCCAGTAGGTGGTGCAGAGGGTGCTCAAGATTATCCATCATAGATAACAGTTTGTTAAGAGGCCTCCTCTCTGTCACCACTACAAAAGAGTCAAGCTTGCAACCTGTCACAGAGCAGGTCTTCTTTATGAACTCCTGTCCCCATGTCACACTGTCAGAGAATTAAGATCATCTGACTAAAGACTCCTGTCTGTCCAGAGATCCAGGACCAAGTGTTATGGAGACAGGGCCTTTTCTATCTGTGCCCCAAAACTACAGAACTCCCCTTTCATTCAATTCTCCCCCAATATTGACATCTTTAAGAGTCATCTCAAAACACATTTTTCCTCCTTAACTTGAGCCAATAGTTTGTCTACTGGGCTACTTTGCAAGCTCTATAGCCATGCTATCAAACTTACAGAAATGTTGCTGGCCATCGCAATACAAAGAAAAAAAAGTAATACTTCAAAATGGAAAAAATGTTAACATACCAGTTGGACTGTGGTGCTCTGAGTAGCTGTGTTCCCATTGAGAAAACAACTTATGGATGAGGGAAAAGATTTTCAGCCCTTTTTGGATTTTTATAGAAAAATCTCCCATCCAACATGATTCATTGTGCCATTTAATTTTGATATTTTTGATGTCCACAGTCAGTATCTCTGTACACATATTTATCTTATTTCCAGTATTTTCTGCTGCCTTTGATTTGATTATTCTTCAAGTGAACATCACAACTTCTCTGTATATTATTATCTCAGGGAACTAATGCAAGGTATGTTGGCTATTAAAAACAAAGATTTCTTTTGTCCTATGGTGTGGAGTAAGAAAACATAATTTACTGCTCATTGTAAGCATTTAAATAAACTGTACATAGCACAGACTCTTGCACTTTCTGCTTATTTGTACTTCTGGTGAGATGCACTTCTGGTGAGATGCCAAACCTCATTTCGTTACTCTATACTTGTATATGTGTAATGACAATAAAGTTGAATCTCATCTCATCTAAACTCTAGTATTCTGTGGTCCGTTCATTCCGGCAGGGGGCGGTCGAGAGTCGCTCGACATGTTTTGTGTCCGGTTGCGCACTGAATGGCATGGTTGTATGTAAAGAGGCTGGGCAGGGACAGAGGGAAACACAACACACAGGGCTTCTTGCTGCTGGAGGAGTGTCTATGCAGTTGTACACAACGCAGTTTGTGGTGGAAATACACAGTACGTATATGTTTCTTTTCCGCATTTGTGTATGTGAGAGGGGGAATCGACTGCTTAAGGACAGGGTTTCCTGCAAGGACTGTCTGCAGCAACCACTCTGAGGAAAACATTGTTTCTAAACGACTACCCAGAGGAAAACGATTGGCTGGTAAGGCTACTGTCAGTCTGATTTCAGCTAGTGCCGATCACTTGATGCCAAGTTGACCTGTATGTTAACTATACCCTTTTTAAAAAAAAAATCACGTTTAGATTTGTAAGTGTCAGTCTCCAGCTGTTCGACAGGTGAAAGAAATGCAGGTGCGCAACTGTTAGTCTACCTACAGCTCAGATACAAGGCTGTTATAAGACTCAAATAGACCACAGATTTTTAATTTCGCACAATAAAGTTTATATTAAAAACGATAAGTAAGGCAATGGATTCAAATGTGGAGTTGGACGATGGCTCTGCTCATTTCACCTTTAAACTATTCAATTCTTGTTTGGGATTATGCTTGTCATCCAACCAGCGTAGTTGTGGGACAGTTGTGCGCTTCTGTCGGCTGGAAGAACGTCTAGTTGTTGTTTTTGTTTTCTGTCGTCTTTCAATTAGGAAGTTTTGTTGTTTATGTGCCACAACTCTTTCTTTCACTTTAACTGAGAAATTGGAAGTCCTTCTAGCTTGATGGGAAATGAGGCAAGCTCTTTGAAGGTTGAGTAACACAAGCAGGGGAAAATTCTCTGACAACATGATAATAGCCCTCATGGAAACCTGTCCATAAGCCCCTGGTGGGAATGAGTGTAAAATAAAGCTAAGACCTTATCACATTGCTGTTGACGTCTGGCCCACTTTGACCTTTTGTAAGCCAAATCATACAGATGCTAAATCCCCATGGATGGACCTATCTTGTTGCCAGGTGACACATTTTGTTTTGCCCAAATATTTTATTTGTGTATGTTATGAGATCCTGTACTTGACCAGCCCTTCATTTTACTGAGCCTCATTATATGTCACATTATTACTCTTCTTGGCAGCGGAGTGCTACATTTCTCCTCTTGGTTATGTGCAGCCAGAATGTCACTGTGAAATAGCTTTGCCAGTTTCAAAACGGGAGATTACTAGTTATTTGTGCATTACACTACAGCTGCTTGACTAGACTAAGAAGCAAATTCGATCATCTGCTGATCTTGAGCAAATGAAAAAAATGTATATTATTCTGTAGAAATGACTCAGGTGTTAGAAATGTATAGTAGACCAGCATAATTTGTTCGCCTTTTCTCAAATTGACCAATAGTTTAAACCACTCCGTCCTAAAACATCAGGACACAGAACCAACCTGGATTTGCCATCTTAATTAAGCATTGCATTTGGCCCTTTGAATGTTGTCATCCTGTAGGCTTTACATCTGTATTGCAGAGTGTTAATAGAGCCACATATGTCAAAATATACAGTGGTACTAAATGTATCACTCACACTGGATTATTACGGGTTTGGGGATAAAAAATAATCATACAAGTCTAACTGGTCCGTAGCTCAGCTTTAGGATTAGGACTAGGTGTAACACAGCATTATGAGCCCGTGGTTTCTTATAGGAGCTTCCTGTTTATTCCTCATTTGACTGGGTGGCAGGGGAGTTGGTCTAGCTTGGGTCAGGTTGGTCAGCCTGCCACACAGGATTTTTGAAAGGGAAAACAGCTGATGCAAATCCCGTCCTCTCTCCTTGGGACAAACACCTGAGCTCCTGTGTTCTGCTGTCTTCTGCCCTTGCACTGATAAGTTGCTTGTCAGAGTGAGCAGCACCTGTGTTTTTCAATTTGAGTGGCAGCAGGAGTGTCACAAGGATGTGGAGCCAAAACATTGTCAACACAAATCATACTTGTACTCGGTTGGCTAATAGATAGGGATGAAATGGTGACGCTAATTGCAACATTTATGAATTTACCTGCACTCATTCAAAACCTTTTATCATTTTCCTGCTGTATGAGCTTCTTGTGAAGGGGTAGCAGGACAAAATAACAACTATAGGGTTTTAGTGTAGTCTTGTGATTATGGGTCAAAGAGCACTCTGTGTACTCTGCTTATACTGCAGCATGGGATCCCAGTAGTGACAGGACCAGAATAAGAGGCATATGAGGCTCATTAAACAGTTACATAAGTCAACGTGAACAGTAGTTCTCAGCGCTCTTTCTGATTCTTGATAATGGTCTGACTGCCTGAATGGTCTGAATGTGAACACACACACACACACTAGTGTGGTCCCATGTTGGATCTGGTTACATTGGAGATGTTGTGATTAGGACATTTCTCACTGTATTGTCCGGGACCTTTTTCTTGTTGATGTTTTATGTGTTACCTCTCCTGCCACTCTAATTCTTCCCTCAGAGGATCTTCACTCCTATCTACAGTGTTGTATCCTGGGTCAGAGAAGCGCTAATATGCTACGTCTCAGGTGCTATGAGATGAAAGTATGGCAACAGGGTTTGTTTTCTTTCCAGTGTTCCCCTTCTCCGGCAGTCCATGCCATCCTTTTCTCGTTTCCTTTCTCTGCTCAGTTACATTTAGTCAGATCACTTGACAGTTTTAGTCAAGCACCGCAGCAAGTGACAACGAGTGATTTGAGATTCTTGGCTGTTCCCAAACAGCTTAAAAAACCCATCATCATTCTTATTGGATTTATATGTTTTGGTTTACAGGGGTTTATCTAGTAAAAGTTGTTGGATGACCTGAAATACAACATGTGCCTGGTTCTGCAGATTCTGATGGGTTAATGAGTGTTGTGTGTTATGCTGCATGGCTGTTTCCAATGCCAACTCTTTGTAGGTTGCTACCAATGATTGCTTAGGATTGAAAACTGATGGTGACATTGTTTCTTTATTAATTCAATTATGAATGTGTTTTCCCTCTTCTGCATTGTGCACAATTTATCCAATATGGACTAATGTTGAATGGCTGAACATGAACTGATATACTTACCATCTTGAATTATTATTCAGGACCTGGTTTTGTGGAGCATTTGTTCATTTTGCATCCACAATTAGAAAATTATGGTAGTTAGCCAACATTTGAATCAGATGCTCTTTTCCAATAGTCAGCAGTATGAGATCAGTGCACAGATAAAGGTGAGGGTGCTTCGTATCATAAATCCTAAACATGACAGTCGGCAGTCTATTCACACAGTCTATTCACTGGATGCTTTTGCCTCCACACTTCTGTTCAGTTGTGTCGCACCTCTGCCTTCCTCTCTGTCTTTTATCTGTTTTATTGTCCTCATTCATCAGCCAGGCTACACTCATGTCAGCACATACCACATACTACTGATAGCTACCAGGACTTCATAGTTCACTGTCTTTTTATCACTACTATGACCAATGTTCAGCCCACAGGCGGAAAAAACAAAAACAAAACCCCCTGCACATAATTATTTACAACAGCAAACATAAATTATACCAGTTGGAAAAAAAGCAGTCATGTCTTACCCAGAGGTCCCCATCTTCAAGTCATTATGCTAACTGTTCTTGTTGGTCATACAAAAAAAGACAGAAATCAATAAAAAAAAAACAATAACTTACAATTTGAAAAAAAAAAGTCCTGTATAATAATCTCAGCTTTTCTTGTTGGACCTACAGTCAGCACAGTCCTCTCTATACCTATGAAACTATTTATTCCATGTTTTTGGCTCTGCTCCTGCTGAAAGTGACTAATGTAAGGGTCGTTCCTCTGATTCTACAGATGTTTGTTTAGTGTTTTATAACTATCTTATGTCTGGGACAATAGCTTAGGTTACAGTCTGTGATGCCTTGTTTTGGGCTTTGGACTACAAATAATTAGCAGCCTGTATTGTACAGCCTTAGGTTGGGAAATTAAATAGACCAGACTTATCTGGAACAGCTTATTAAAATACACAACTGAATGTTGTTTCCTTAATCAATTTGAGCAGATCAGAAACCAGGACCTCTTAGCCTCTGAGTAAGATTTAGATTCTCGATGTTTCCTAAATCAGTCACAACACTGTATTCACACAAACCTATATAATTCTTCAAGATGTGACCTGAAACACACATTAGGATATCAATCTCAATAATACCATCAACTAATTCATTCCATTTCCAGATGGTTTTTTGAAAAGTATATAGTTTAAAAGGATACTTGAAAGGAGGCCTCCGGCGGTAATTGGCTCTTAATTGTGCTCCATTGGTTGGTTTGAGGGACACAGGCAGAGCAATTTGTTGGCAGCCATTCAGGAATTTAGACTATTCAGAGGTTGTGGTGTTTGTTGTTGTTTGTTGTTGTTGTTGCTCTGGCCATGCTGAGCACCCCCCCCACATCCCCCTCTTTTACTTTCTTGCCCTGTTAATGACTATGGCCAACTCAGGAGACCCAAAAGTGCATGGTGGAGTGAGAGAGCAGGAAGGAGATAAGGCAAAATGAAGGGTTCAAAAAGCAAGACACAAAGGAGTGGGTGAAGACAAACATGTGGGAGCTGAAGAACGTCATTTGCCAGGTACATCCTCTTTTTTTCAGAAGCCTTTGATTATTGACATTTGACCAATAAAGGCATACTGAACAAATCCCCTCTAACTCTTACAATTGATTGGTAAGAGAATAATAATCAGTCCTCCTGCAGCGATATTCAGCGATAATACACCTGCCTGTCACTCTTGTGGTTAAAGGAGAGGACCTTTGGACTTTAGGGCATGGCTGAGTAAAACTGAGCTGGGAAAGTCTGCGATGGGCAAGTCTCTATCTTCCTCTCTCTGTCATGTGATCATGATTGCAATGGGCTGTTAGTGACGTTGAAAGCTGAAGCAGCCTGAGCAGATATCACTGGTGGTTGAACATAATAAGCCTGCTGTAATGAGTCCTTGTCTCAGAGAATGTCGAGCTGTAGTGTATATCTCCCCATCAGGGCAGCCTCTCCCTGCCTCTCTGTCTTTGGAGAACATCATCCCTGTTTTCTCTCCATTTACTCATCTCTGTGTGCCGCCCCCCCCCCCCCCCCCATCCTTCACTTATGTCATGTGAGTCTATAGAAACTGGGGGTGACCTCATCTTCTTCCTCCTCCTCCTCACTGCTTCTCATGCAGAGTGGAACTAAAGGGAGACACTCTCTGAATTACAAATACACAGGCTCTCAAGAGTGTATTGAATTCATATTTTCAAAAAAAAAAAAAAAAACCCATACATAACAAGGTTGTGGTCTTTCTTTTATTTTTTGGCTACTTTTTAATATGTCTTTTATTATGCATCTTCTTCTTGCCTGTAAAAGGCTTTGGATGAAACTTGACATATGGTCCTGTTGTACATTGTTGTTTCATATATAAATAGAGATGTACACTCCAAAATATTTAAATCTATTATTGTCTCTATTTCTTTTCCTTTTTCCTTTTTCTCGCTGTGTTTTTTTTCTTCATGTCACACCTGAAAGGTCATAGGCTCTGTGGGCGCCCTCCTTCTTCCCCTCTCACCTACTGTCTCTCTTTATTAACTGGTGCCTAAAGGTCGAATACCATCCACAGTTCAATTGAACATAAAACTGGGTTGCCAGTGTAATAACTTACTAAAACAAGTATTCAGATTTATTACTGTGCACTCTGCACCGTGTGACGATTCGTGTGTTCTTCTTGCAGCGTCATGTTTTTTCAGACACAAACTGCTATATTTGTTAGCAAAGCTAACAAAGGTTTTCTCAAACTGGTAAACTAGTCAAACGTCCACATGAACTGCAAGTGTGGTTCCAGACTTCTTGTCTTGTTTAGGTGTCCAGTGTTCACACACACTAACACACATACTCTCCAGCTCTGCAGTGCAGCGTAGAGCCTTGTGAATGCAGACGGACACTGCTCTAAAGCTGCAGCACAGCTTGTCCCTCAGAGTGACGATGAAAACAAACACGCCTCTGGAAGGATACAGTTAAACATAACAGACGCACCAAGTCAACGCTAAGTAATACCTGCCTGCTGTTGTACAACTCCATTTGTTGTGGAGACCAGGCAGGAAGTACGCATGAGATGGATATTTATCGGGTTACAGAAGGTTTGTGTGCACACGTTGAAACTGCACGTGTTCTGTTCTGTTTGCTTTGTCTGTATTTGTTTTTATTGCATATATTTGATCTGTTTAAATTGGGTGGAACCAGAGCAGTGATCCTGCAATGGGCTTGGTATTGTCTCTTTTTACATTCTCTGACTGAATGTTTACAAGGACAGTGTTAGTCTTTCCACAATGACCATCATTCTGGTCCACAGAAAGCACTTTCCACTGCAGGCTGACATATTATTTGTATATTATTATCTATTTTTTATGGCTGCTGATCATTTATGTGCTGCTAGTGAAGAAGAGACCACACATTAAGATACTTGTTTTAAAACCACATGATTCATAACAGAACATGACACATTTCACAGAAGCAACTATTAAACACAGTTGGGTTAACTGAGCCAATTTTGTAATCAAACTTACCCAGCAAGTATGGGAGCAAGTGTTTACACAAGGCGTCACAAAGATAACAAAAAATGCCTCACACCCAAATACACCTCAGCCTCATATGGTACCTCTAGGAGCTTGTTTTTTAATTACATTTTTATTTAAACTATACTTTTTTTCACTGTATTTTGTCATGTTGCCTGAGTCCCCAGGGTTTATTGAAATAACACAATCCATAACACAGTTTAACCAGCTACATTGTCCTCGGGTGGAGTTTTTGGGAGCTGTAGTCAAGGGTGCAAGCAGTTAATGACGACGAAGCTGATCCCCCGCAGGCTGAGCTAAACTGGCTCCCCATGCATCTTCTTGATTGTGTCCAACCAAATCCAGATATCTGTGCTTATCTAACATCTCACAGTCGGGGATTGTGAAGGTCATGGAAGCTCAGCAGTCAAGTCCTCAGAGCTCTACAACCCCCAGCTTTGCTAGTCTGCTATTGATTCTCCATTATGTCTCCAATCTGCTGCAGTAATCCAATAGTATATTTGACCGAGAAGCCAAGCAGGGCAAACATGGGGCTAAATGTAGAATCTGTGTCTTGGTGATAGATATTGAGGGAGCCTTTCTGAAAACTTCTCAGCCTGATTTTGTCGTGATGGTTCACTCTTTTCACTTATTAAAAGGAACCACCCTGTCTTCAGCAATATCATCCGCTTATTGCCCAATGAAAACAGGGAGGAAATTTACCAGAAGTACTTGTCAGGTCAGATGCATTGGTTCTGCATTTTTATCATACCAGACAGCCCATGTCTGTGCTCAGCTGCATATTTTCCTTGCCAGAACTGCTTGGCTAAAGAGAGGCTATTTTGACTTCCATATGGGTAGACAGGCATCCTTGGCAATAGCCCTGAAACCATGGAGAAGATATGGCATGAGATTTGTACTCGAGTGTGTTTGTTCGAAGGGTGGTAGAGTTCCTTTTGTAGGTGTGTGGACGAGTGGGGAATTTAGCTGTTATGGATCAGAGAGACTGACGTAAAAAGTAAATAGAGTTTGTTCTTACAGCACCCTCTTAGATCAGAAGTCACAAAGTGCAACAGAGCAGGAAAGATAACAGTGCCTAAAAGATACATTGTTGAACAATTTACAGTCAGTGGAAGAGGTGTCACTGGTTTGAGTAATTCAGGATTCAGACCATCAGGTTACATTATGATGCATTGTGATATCGAATTAAATCTAACTGTTGACAGGATACTCATAATCTAATCCAATCGAGAGACCGGTGAAGACGCACAGCCCTTAACTCTAAATAGCCTACGCACAGTCAAAATGGCTTTGACCTCAAGTCAGTTGCATCATTTCTGCAATTCTGCTGTCACTCAAAAAACAAAACATCCACCATCCGCAGAGACATTGATTTTACACAGATACATTTTTGTATCTGACGCTCACAGTAAAGTTAATGTGACGTACACTGTGGAGGGACCGCTCTGCGTATGTGTATAATTGTTGAGGCTCTCCTCCTTTATTTGCTATGCTCGTGTATGCCTGTGATGTTTGCAATGGGAGTGTATTACAGATACAAGACACGTCTGATTTGGTATGATCCATCCGTCCGTTTTCATCCACACGTCCGACCCACTGTCTGCCACTCTTTTGTTGAAAGGTGAACAACAGACCTGCTGTTGTTCACTGCAGCTGTGGGCCTCGCATGGATTGTTCTGGAAACAGTCTGTTGGAGCACCGGCTGGGTTGAGGGGTCAGGTGAGAGAGAGAGAGAGAGAGAGAGAGAGAGAGAGAGAGAGAGAGAGGAGGGAGGAGAGAGAGAGAGAGAGAGAGAGAGAGTCCAAACAACCCCTTTCTAACACTGACACTCAGAGCAGGGCTGAGCAGGGAGCCTCACAGACCGGCCGGCTCATTAAAATTCCTCAGGTTCAGAGATTAGAGTAATGGCTGAGGTGAATCAACACCCAATTACTCAGCACTGAAGGGAAATGTTCTGATTTTATTTCTAATTACACAGCTAATGGTTGATAGCAGGATTATGGTGTGTAAAGACCATTCTTAGTGACTTGTGCCTCTGTTCCAGTCCCACAAATTCATGTGACAAACTTGATCTTGTCATTCAGGATGACTTGGCAAATATTGTGTGATCATATCTGCTGATTTCCTTCTTCAGGGAGACAGAATATTATTTTAGAGAAGGTATAGATCGTGCATAAACCAGAACAAAGACAGCTAGCTGTAGTTGGGGTGTTCTTCCTGCCAAAATGTATCAGTATCAGTGTTGTCTCTTTGTTTATAGCAACAGAGGAGCTGTTGGATTGATAAGAAGTGAGTCGTGAGATAAGAGTTCAGTGTCTGCTACATTCTTTTAATATCTGACCAGTGTGTGTGAACATGTTTTTATCTAAAGAATCTTATTTTGAAGACTATTTATACACACAAGACATACAACATTTTGCCGTCACAATGCTGTAGCGTGTGGTGGCAATTTAAGAGTTAATCATTTCAACTGAGCATATATTCGCCTCGTAGATTCAGATTTTTATTGCAATGTGACTGATGGTCTCCCAGCAGGTGAGAGGAGGACACAGTGTTGCTGATGAAGCAGAAACACATTATGCAATAGCCATGGCTCTGAGGCTTGCAGGTGCATTTATATGCAGGTGAGGTGCTGACTGCAGGCTTGCCAGAGCTTATCAGACAAAGTCCAACATTTTTTGAGGGTTTTTATGTCTGCTACTCCCCCCCTCCTCTTCTGATTCCTTGTTTTCCTCACTCACTCACTCACTCACTCACTCAGACACACACACACACACACACACACACACACACACACACACACACACACACACACACACACACACACACACTGTTATGTCACAGTTTAATTGACTTGTGTCACTCTGCTTTATTTTTGTTTTTTCTGAATAGAGGGATTAAAACAGGAGGCTAGGCTAGGTAGAGGAGGAGAAATATTTATGTTTTCCACCTTAAAGCTGTAGTTTTAAGAGATGATTTAATTGCACATCAGCTTTTAACGGGGAGAATGGCGCCTCTCCCTGTTCCACAGCACGACCAATCGCCTGTTTACCGCAGTATGTAACTTTGGTAGGGGGCCGAGGTCATCTTGCAAGAAGTGCGTATGGCTTTACGTACTGCACAGTTCACACTCCAGCCTTCAGTTATAAAAAGAAGCCATTAAGCCAGTTTCTATACAATTTGATACAATGGCTGAGTTTAAGAGGAAGAAGACGTTGACAGATGAAGCTGAGAAGAGAAAAACAGAGAGTGACCAGGCAGATTTCAACGTACGATAGGGTGTATTGTTACCTGGTTCACTGTTGTCTCATGTTTAGCAGCTTCACCAGGTGCAGAAGGTAATCTAATCCAAGTTATGTCTCAGGGTTGCATCCAAAAAAATAAATGAATCCGTCTACTGCCAAAAAGTTGTTTCTTTCCCAAACCATCTTCAAGTTAGTTACATACTTTTGGAACCTTACATACCTCTCTCAACCAGCATTATCCCCCTCAGCTTGTCACATATAAACTTGAGAGCTAATTGTGTTTTTTTTTACCCTAGTTTCTTGTTGTGTAGCAATAACCCTTTGTGCATCTGTTCTCTGACAGAGGGTCTCCAGATCGAGAGAAAACTCCTGGTGTTTGCTGAGACTGGCAATCAAGAGATGTCGCCCTGATTGCTATTTTGATGGGCGCCGCTTTCCATTAAGCAAGGTAACGTTCTGATATTTATTTTTTTAGTGGCAGTACGCAACATGAAGATTCCAACGGATTGATGTTAGTTTGAAACTTGACTGTCCAATCAAGCCAAACTATGTCCTCATGGAGCTGATGTGATTGCCAAGTTACATGCAAGCTATTGTTTTTTTATTTTTATTCAGACCTGATAAGTGAAAAAAAAAAAAAAAAAAAAAAAAACACAAAGGAGGGTCACCCTGTGGGCCCACCACCTGCAGGGACTGGCATGTGGGTAGGTTGTTGAGTGGGCGTGCTGATCAACAGCATCACTGGCTAGAACGTAGAATGTAGAACGTCACCTTTCTGGCGGGGAAGAACCAGAGTTGGTGCCGGAGGTGTAGTGTTACGGGCCAGATATTGTTGGTCTCACCTCCATGCACAGCACCAGTTCTGGAGCCTCCTGACAGATCAGGCAAACAGTTTTATGATTGAAACAGTAGTCATAGTTGTGAAAAATGAATCAGGTATTTTATCTTATTATAGTTTTATTTCAGTCTTGTGTGCCTCTTTCAGATGTCCACCACCACAGAAAATGGGATGGGAGGACCTTGGAACACAAGCAGAGAGAAAACATACAAAAAGGTAAAAAAAACAAAACAACAACAACACATGACTATACATACAACATCCTAAATGTGTTTGTTTCATTTGTATTTATGTGAGACAACTATGAACCTGCTTCCGTAACATGTTTTTAAGTTTCACTGTTTAGAGCCCAGAAAGTCCAAAAGGTTTCTACTTCATGTCACACGAGTGCTCATAAATGTCTTTTAACAGCACATAATGTCATGATCTCTGCCAGCCAGGGCTCCCTGCCAGAGATCAGTCAAGACCTGTTTTTTATTTCCTTTTTCTAACGAGACGTCGCCATCACAAGGCTTACAAGGCTAGTATTGTTCAGGTTGAGCCTAAAGGTGATCAAAGGTGATTTCAGGGATTTTTGTTTTGGAAATAACTCCTCCATTTCAACTTCTAAGTAAATGAATAGAATTGGCTTCAGAATGTTCATATACACTCACTGGTGTATGTAATGAGGACAGCACTGACAGTATGTTATAACAGCCTGACTAATGC